TTTGTTCTTAGTTTCTGCTAATTCATGCGTGACTAGTGCGTCATTTCCATAAAACGAGTTGTTCACCTTGGGCATAACCGGGTTAAAAGCACTTGCCGTCTTTCTTTAAAGTTCGTTCGTTGGTCCTAAGGTTTTTATTGCATAATTTAACCAGCTAGAGCAAAAACTCAGCAGTGCGTTAACCTTTTTTGTAGAATACATTTTCTGAGCCCCAAGGTAATGCACTTTCAATTGTTACTCATTGTTCTTGCAGAGTGGCAGTAACACAATATTATGTCTGAAAGTTTTTGTCGGTAACATGATCCATGCCAGTTATATTTTAATATAGAAGAGCTGTGCATAGGGTCGCTACTGTAATAATATTATAATAATATGTTAAAACATATTTCGCTTCTGTAATAATATTATAATAATATGTTGAAAAATATTTTGTTGTTTTTTAACACCAATGGTAGACAAAGGATTTTATATTCTAGCTTTGCATAAACTTGGTGTTAAAAAACAAACAAAAACTGTCGCCATTTTAAAATTTAAATGAAACAGTTGTCAAACCAATTTAGCTTTGTTAATTGTTTCAGGATCTTAATCATTTAAACTATACACTTGCAAAGTTGTCCATACACCATGAATGTAAACAAGTATAAAACTAGTTTATACCAGCAAGTAAAATATACATACTTGTATTTCTCTTTCTACATAGATATAGGGTACTGCACATTACCCCCGTCAATTACCCCGCGGACATCCCCCCTGTATTTAACCCGCGGAGCAATTACCCCCTGTGGAATTTACCCCCCCCCCCATCCTCCATGATAGAATACTGATTCTTACTCCAACTCTATACCTTATATTAACTTAATCCTAACCTAAAGACAAAGACGAAAAACCTGAGAATTATCTCAGCCTAAAATTTCCCAAAATCAAATAAATCTCTAGACATCGATGTCGATCTGGCCGGAAGGTAATTGACAAGGAGATGGGGGGGGGGGGGGTAATTACTCCGGTGGGTAATGACTGGGGGGAATGTCCGTGAGAGGGGTAATTGACGGGGGTTTATGCCATGTTCCCATATATATATATATATATATATATATATATATATATATATATATATATATATATATATATATATATATATATATATATTACCATCCCAGCCAGGCTCAAGGTCCTTCCACTGGCCTAATTAAAAATCCTATCTGTAAATGACCATGACTTGTGCGATTATAAAGCTGCATATACCCGGCATTGCCCGGGTTTAGGACTATATAACTTTTCTAATTTACCCTAACCATAACCAATCAAACCCAGACACAAAAAAGCAATCATAACACAAACACAAACCCAACCACAAACGCAAACACTAACCCAACCACAAAGAAAACACAAGTGCAAATAAAAAAGCAAACACAGATACAAATAGAAACACAACCGCAAACCTAAACGCAAACAATAACTCAAAATAATGCAAAATAACGCAAACATAAACACAAAATTAAATGCAAACATAAAAGCATACTGCTCATAATCCAGCCCGAGGCGCCGAATTTCACAATGCTGGGGCGCCGGCGGAACCTCCTGATTCAACTTAGTAAACGACTTTAGTACCCCAATTTATTCTTAGTCTTATGCGCTCACTTAAACAAACGTAGGCGCCATAGCTAACACGAGAATGCCCAGAGTGCCAAATAGCAGCCTGTCGGGGCTCCGGAAGACACCCGGGTTCAATTCAGTTAAAGACTATACTAACCTTTCTTATGCATAGTCTATCGCACTGTTTAAAACGAAATTATGCACCATAGCGCTCACAGGATAGCCCAGGGCGCCAAATCAAACCCTGTCATGTCGCCTGCGGACGCGCCTAATGCATTTTAGTGAACGAATATAATACCCCCTCGCTTATCCGTAAAAGGAAAGATAAAAGTAAACATAGAGGACATTTCGGAGCTTGCTTCTAAACTGTTATTGATTAAAAAAATATTTGCGGTGCAAAGCAATGTCATGTGATGGAAAATTTAAAGCTTCAAAACATAAATATAGCCCTTAAAAGATATTGTTTCTTCAATAGTGCCTTTATAGTCAATAACGTAGTAAAACCATACATTGCAAAATGTACTGTTAAAACGTCTGCATTAAAAAAAGGCATTCACTATGGTGAGGTTAAAAAAAAAGACGATGTTCATCACGTTTCGTGCGATAGACAGAAACGAATCCCCTTGGTGTAAAAAAAGAAAAAAGACAAAGATAATAACATGTGGGAACTCCCTTGATTATGCTATAATAAAATTGATGGAGCTTTTTTTTTTTCTTTTGAATACGCATTAGCTATTTTAGCCAAAAAAAATAAATAAAAAAAAATAAAATTGTTTTGTAAAAACGCCGCCACTGATAAGCTCAGTTTAGGAAATTCAACTCAAGAATTTTAACCCAGCTTTACCTGAGAATTGCAAATTATTGATGTCTTTGTACGATGAAGTTGGCTGATAAGATGCTACTCAGCGCTTTCTTGTATTTGAATAGTCTCTTATCAGGAACAAAATCATATATTCCACATGCCGTGAGACGTGAAACTGTATGACGCAAGAATATGGTAATAAGTTAGAGTGCGATACTTTCTAGACAAGGTAACCACAATAAACAGAGTCTTAAGTTCATGACATATATTAGCAGGAATAGACTTGCCCGACAGTCTACTGGAGAAAAAAATCTCGGTGGGCCGCTAGGAACTGTGATTTTAAACCACTGTTAGTGTTTGTTTTTACTTTCTCGTATATACGAAGTAGAGAAAGTCTTGTAATCGTGCAAAAAAAAAATCGAGATATTTGCAAATCTCTACGTTTTACAGCTCCCTGAGTCGGAAAAACATTTTAATGTATGCATTTTAAAGTTATTTTGCACGATTAAAACAAGATTAACTTTGTCTATATGTTCTGTAGTCCAAAAAGGTAGTATTTAAAAATTAAAATAGTACACGATGAATCTAGTATAGCCTACATTTTAAGGTCGTATGCTTTATAGGAAAACAAATTATTTTACTTTAACAGATCATCACCATCCACATCGTCCCCAACCAGGTTTGGGGTATTATAGTAGTTCACTAAATTAAATCAGGCGCGTCTACCGGCGCCCTAGCAGGGTTCGATTTGGCGCCCTGGGCTATCCTGTGATCGCATAGTTTCGTTTTAAACAGTGCGATAGACTAAATTGAATCCGGGGTCCACCGGCGCCCCGACAGTATGCTATTTTGCATCCCGGGCCTTCCCGAGTTTTCTATGGCGCCTACGTTAGTTTACGTGTGCATATAAGAATAAGTTGGGGTACTATAGTCGTTTACTAATTTGAATCAGGAGGTTCCGCTGACGCCCCAGCATGGTGCGGTTTGGTGCCTCAGTCTAGACTGTGAGCACTTTGCGCTTGCTTTTTTTGTGTTTTCTTTGTGGTTGTGTCATTTAACCAATTTTAGGTTCGAATAGGAAACTTTTAGTTTTAGGTTAAATTTTTTACATGAAAATGTAGTAGTACAAATATTATTACATTTAGTACACTTAATCGCTAGTATTAATAATATATGAATTTAAATTATTGTGCTTTAAAAATAACTTGCAGATAAGAAACACCCGCGGAATACTTCCACTTAAAATAGGTGAATAAACATGTCACTCGTTAGGTATACATTAAAGTTCTCTAGGTTATATTGCCATAATCAAATTTGTCTTCAAATACACCGCAATGTAAGTAAGTATACTATGTATATTTTTTAAAGTTTTATTAAATTTGCGATGTTTATTTTCTTTAGATTGCAATTATTTGAACCCTACTAGTGCTGACCACATTATCCCTTCGTATGTAAATCACAAAAACAGGTGAACTCTACTTCACTTGCCCCACAGACCATGAGATTCGATTGCAATTTGTACTTTAAGCTTCTTCTTCTTCGTTCTTAATTATTAGTGATGAAGGGGATCGAGATTTATCTGCCAGTGGGTTTGAACTCGAGACTTTGTTCGAATATATCAACCATGAGCTTTTTGCCGACTCGACCACGCCTCCAACACAATTAAGCGTTACGTGTCAACTGGTTATGCGCCATTGAGGCCATTGACTCCGATTTCAGCCTGCTTTTCTGTTTGGATTTGCTTCCATAGCCTTTGTCCAACCAAGAACAAACTACAAGGCAGCAGTTGTTTAATTTTGGAGTTGTCTCTCCTAGAAGAGTGGCTGTCCCCAGCTAACGAGCCTCATCTGCCCGAGGGTTCGAACTCGAGACTTTTCGGTTTAGCAACCATGAGCTTTACCGTACTTTAAGCAATTATTAAACTATTTCGTACAAACTGGATGTGTATGAATTTACCAAAATCAGAAGCTAAAAAGGAAATAATGTCACACAATAAATCGATATACTGGTACTTTGAATAAATTTGACCTAAAATATGATTTTTTTGGTTTATTTTCTTGTCGATTCGATGTTATAATTTTAAAATACATGTTTGGAGTAAAATATAAACAATGATGTAGTTATAAAATACGTTTTCAAAATAATACATATCAAATTAAATTTAGAAAACATTCCCGCAAGATATCGATTACACAAGTGTTTACCGAACCAGTACCTATCTTTTTATCTCATACATTTGGTAATTGAAAGTTTACGTAAACTTTGATAAGACTGTTTAAACTACTCTCTATCTGTATGGCCTTTAAATACGACGTCTTTTATTGAACTATGTGAAATGGAATGCCTAAGTGAACAATTTATAAACGTTAATCTTATAAAGCAAATATAAATTATTTTTTTATATTTAAAATATGTTGAATATGTAGATGTAGTTATTTTTCCGTAATATTATTTTCTGTAAGTATAAAAATGTTTTTGAATGAATTTTTAAAATATTTTTCACTTTAAAATTCGTCATTAATAAAGCGGACATTACATGAGGATATTGACATGCATCAGTCCAGCCTGTGGTGTATGATTTAAACTAAATGAATCTTGTGAAAACATGGCGCACAGCACGAACCTACTGTGTCTTGTTTTAATGGCAGCTACGTTAGTTCAGACACAAGCGCAGGCCTACATAGGCAACACGGCTTTTGATGCTTTGGACGGGCTAGGTTGTAGCCAGGTAGGATGTTGTAATGTTCGTATCACATTATAGTGACGGCGTGGTCTAGCGGTAGAGCGCTAGACTGCGAACCAGAAAGTTTCGAGTTCAAATCAGTCCCAGAGTCCACCTAGATCTGATGGGTACCTAACTCGTATTGGGGTAAGTATAGTTCGCTGGACAAAGTGCTGTCCACAATATATCTTCATATACCTAGGCCAGAGAAACAGGTGAACTCTTCTTCACTTGCCAAATAGACAGGCTTGAAAAGGGTCTTTTTATATCACAAAATATGTTTGTGTAAAAACTATTAATAAATACCTTTTACTGCTTGATCAAAGTAGAGATGTTCACACAAGGATTGTTTATTTAAATATAAACATAATTTGAAATATAATATATAAATAAAACACAACTAAATTCGTTTCTTGATCCTGAGGTCCAGCCTTAGGACGTCTGTGAGCCAACAGCACGTATGCAAGAGAAAGAGCGGTTGGACATAGTGCTGACCACAATATCCCTTCATAATTTTGAATGATAATATAAATTTGGAACCGTTTTAAGCCAATTGCCCCATTTAGAGAAAGAATAACCTTTTTTTTTAAAGGAAGAAACTATACACTGTGCACATTGTTAATGGTAAACTTAGTGCATTTTTTAATCAAAATCTCGCTCTCCAGCTCTAGAGTCGGGAGAACCAAACATGATTTTCTAAATAGTAATACGCCAGAGGAATGAAATAAAATCTTGTAAAAACATAGCACTTTTTAAACTATTTACAGTTCAAGTCCATAATCACAGAGGCTCAGCCAGAAAAGAAATTCCTAATCCATAAGGTTAATTTGGTAAAGTTTTGTGTTTATTCAAGTAAAAACATAACACTTCTCTCTGTTTACAGTTCAAAGCCATTATCATGGAGGCTCAGCTAGAAGAGACATTCCGAAGCCCCCAAGCCCTGACATTGTTTGTGTTTAATGACACAGCCTACGCCCTGATGCCACCTTACAGGCTTGGCACTTTGTATGACAAGACAAATGGCAATAATTTAGGTGCCAAGGAATATGTCAACTCTTTTACACGTAAGTAAAAATTATTCCACAAATGTCCAATATATAGCTATCTATTTCTCTCTCTCACTCTCTCTCTCTCAGACAGACTGAGGAAGCAAGTTGAATAAAAGCTTGTAAAAAAAAATACCTTACTTCCAAATATTTAAACCTCCTTAAAGCTTCCATTTTAGTTGATTTGTTTGTTTTGTCTTTTCTACTCCTGAAATTTAGTAACTGAAGCAGTTGAAACATCTGCCTTTAGTGATGCTAATCCTATCACGACATATTCTGTAAGGAACCGTAAAGTATTTCTCAACAAAAGAGACCTCAGGAGTGGTGTAAGTATGAGTTTTCTGCCATATTTTTAGATTTCCACATAGAAACATTTCATCTTTCTAGTTAATCCATTACCCCTTTTGTTTTAGCTTGTCATCTTGTTTTACTGTGCGCAATAATTCTCATATAATTTATCCAGTTGTTATTCAATAAATGTTTAACATAAAAGTTTTTAAGAAACAAAGCTAGTTATGAGCTTTGCCTGTAAAATAATAGTGGTTTATTTCATGGGTAAAGTCAATAAAGGGACATTGTTTTTTTTTTTGTTATTTATATTTTCAAAGGTTTTACAATTTTTTAACTACATTATTGAGTTTGGTCTAATGCCTTTATAGCTATGTATTTCCTTATCTAACAATTGGCATTTCCTCACCAGAATGTAGCCAGTGGTACCCCAGGCCCAACAAAATATTTCTGTAACGGAGGAATGTTAATCCGACCCAACATACAAGCTGGCCAGCACCTGATTCACATCATAGACCAGGTTTTAGACATGCCACTAGAGGACAATGCCCTTGCTTATGTGTCTGGGTACAACCCGTCTAAGTTAACGTGAGTAAATGCTCATGTATTAACGCACATTTAAGTTTGATTAAAATTCAGCGTTATTTTTTTTTTCAAAATTATAGCTATTATATTGTTATTCTCCGCTTTCCATTGCACAACACAAATTAAAAACAGAATCCACAGTTCATTTATAACAGTCAAATATAATCTTCCAACTACAACAGAGAAACTGTGAACATTGAAACGAAAAACACTGACTACATGCTACCCTAAGTTGACGATACCACACACTGCTTACACACTACAGTTCACACATTTCTAAGGGGAGGCCACACACACACGCACAGACATACGGACAGAATTGCAAAGTCCAGTTTTTACGACTCGATAACTCATAAAACGCCAAAATGTTTTTATATTTGTATTTAAAATTTTTGTTTGATTAAAATAAGTCCTCTATACTCCGGATGTGATGAAGGACTGAGGAGTAAAACGGTGAAAACTGTCAAAATTTCATGTTATTTTTGTGCTCGATTACAATACTTTCTCTATACTTCGTATGTACGAGAAAGTAAAAACGGAAATAAGTACCGACATTTTCTATTAAATGTATTTATAAGATGTATTTAAATAATGCCAAATTACCTATTCAAGATTTCTACAAAGATCTATATGTGCATCACAGATACCAGTTCTTCATCAAGATTATGGAGGTTCTGAGAAAGATGGAGATTACAACTACAACCAACAGGTCCAAAAAATCCTTGCAGGCAAACAGGTGACGTTTTTCATCCCGTCTGACGAGGCTTTGAACCTGATCCCATCACAGAAACTCAGTGAGCTACAGGGCAACACCAGGCTAATGCTGGAGGTATTTGTAATTGTTTGTCTTGCTAAAGTTGTATTCACATATTTTATATGGTACATTTATCTTCTTTGCAACTGTTTATATGAGCCTACACACACACACACACACACACACACACACACACACACACACACACACACACACACACACACATATATATATATATATATATATATATATATATATATATATATATATCTATAATATAAGCGGGCTGAGCGTGTGTCAGTCCTTCCTTCCTTCTGTCATCGCTATAGCTTTTGGAACCATAAAAGTAAACATTCGCACCATGCTGTGCTTTCCAGTGCACCGCAGTGTCTTATTATAAGTAATAGAGTAGGGTTTGTTTATATAGCGGCATAGAGCTATTTTATAAATGACACTGTGTTTACTTTTTTGCATAACGTTATGAAAATATTAAATATTTGCACATTGCTAAAACATATTAAAAAGATCAATGTCAAATATCATTTTAGTTTATATTCCTAGAATAAATGGATACATTTCCATAAAAGTAGGTCGAAAAAACTAATTAATTCAACTTTTTTTGTGGTAATTTTTTTCAAGGGAGGTAATTTGAAAATATATTTAACTCAACAATAATTTAAGTTAATCTTTTTTGTATTACTACCGCATTGATTAGTATATGTTAATGTTCATAATTAAAAGAGAAAAATGTTAAGATTATTTATATTATTTATTATTTTTTTCTAATTAGTCTATGATTTCTCTAAAATCACTATCTTTTTGCTTTTGTTTTTCGGTGTTACGAAAACAGATGGTGAAATTAGACTTTTTGAGAATAATGGAAAGGCTCTCTCTGAGCGCGGACGTATGGGAAAATGTTTTTTTTAAATATTCAACTCACTCTCAATAAATTAAGTTAATTTTTTTTATTACTTCCACATTGATTATTATATGTTAAGTAAAATAGAAAAAATGTTAAGATTATTTACACTATTTTCTAATTAGACTATGATCTCTCAAAATCACTATTTTTTTGTTTTTGTTTTTCGGTGTTAACAGATGGTGAAAATTTAGAATTATAGTATAGAGAATGCTGGAAAGGCTCTCTCTGGGCGCGGATGCCTAATAAAAGCGTGTTGTTCGTTGGTGATTCTATTGTTGTGGTTGTGTTGTGGTTGTGTTGTGGTTGTGTTGTGTTGTGGTTGTATTGTGGTTGTGTTGTGGTTGTGTTATGTTGTGGTTGTGTTGTGGTTGTGTTGTGTTGTGGTTGTGTTGTGGTTATGTTGTGGTTGTGTTGTGGTTGTGTTTGTGGTTGTGTTGTGGTTGTGTTGTGTTGTGATTGTGTTTTGTTTGTGTTTGTGTTATGTTTTTGTTTGTTTTGTTGTGTTGTGGTTGTGTTGTGGTTGTGGTTGTGTTTTGTTTGTGTTTGTGTTATGTTTTTGTTTGTTTTGTTCTTTTCCAAAGTTGGTACATTTAAAAAAGATTTACCGTGGCGGAGCACGGGATGCAGCTAGTATATAATATAAGCGGGCTGTGTCTGTCCTTCCTTCCTTCCTTCCTTCCGTCATCGCTATAGATTTTGGGACTATAAAAGTAAACTACGCACCATGCTGTGCTTTTCAGTGCACTGCAGTGTCTTATTATAAGTATTAGAGTAGGGTTTGTTTATATAGCGGCATAAAGCTATTTTATAATTTCCACTGTTTGTACAATTTTGCATAACGTAAAGAGAATATTAAATACACGCACATTGCTAAAACATATTAAAAGGATCAATGTCAAATATAGTTTTCTTTAATATTCCCAGAAAAAGTGGATACATTTTATTAACATAATAACAGTAGGGTAGAAAAATCTAATTAAACTGCTTAGTAATTTTGCCAATGGAGGTAATTCAAAGATAAATTGAACTCACGCTAAAATGTGAATGCAAAATCTGCAAGACGGAATAATTGTTGGAATAATATAATTAGCAAAATGTGAGTGCAAATTATGCTGACGTGTAAGAGTACATTATTGTTGGAATATTATTATTAGCACATTGATTGATAAAAGGCTATCTTTTATTTCTTTTTATTCACTGAATGTACTGTTTACTAATTATAATTTTTAATCAACTATTCCGCACCATTATAGACATTGGGTGCGCAATGGTTTTAGTTATGAAACTCAATTGTAATTTTTTAAAATTAAAATACTGGGAAAAAAAATGCGTGAATTGATAAAGTGATATATGGTAGGTAAACACGGATATTATAGATATTGAATATTTTTTATTGTATATTATTTATTATTATTCTATCTTTCGGTTTGCAGACAAGCTGGGGTTTTATAAGAGAGGCGTAGCTAGGGGGGGGGGGTGGAAATCGAAAGTTTTAGGGAGGGGGAGGGGGGTAGGGTGCAAATTGAAAGTTTGAGGGGGTGCAAATCAAAAGTTTGAGCGGGGGGAATTTCAAATCAAAAGTGGTGCAAATCGAAAGTCTGAGGGGATGGGTGGAAATTGAAATTTTGAGGGGAGGGGGTGCAAAGCGTAAGTTTGAGGGAGGGTCAAATCGAAAGTTTGTCCCCGGGCGCCGGAAAGGGTCGCAACGCCTCTGTTTTGTAGTCATTCACTGTGTCAGACGCGTCCGCCGGGACTCGGAAAGGGCGCGATTTGGCGCTACGGGCTAGACTGTGAACAATATGCCTTTATGATTGCATTTAAATTGTGTTTATGTTATGAGTGTTGTGTTCGTTTTTTCGTTGTTTTTTTTTTTTGCGTTTGTTCGTTTGTGTTGTGTTTAGTTTTGTTCTGTTCCAAAGTTGGTATATTTAAAAATGATTTACCGTGGCGGAGCACGGGATACAGCTAGTATATATATATATATACAAACACACTCATATATATATATATATATATATATATATATATATATATATATATATATATATATATATATATATATATATATATATAATATAAGTGGGCTGAGCGTGTGTCAGTCCGTCATCGCTATAGATTTTGAAACCATAAAAGTAAACATCGCAACATGCTGTGCTTTTCAGTGCACCGCAGTGTCTTATTATAAGTAGCAGAGTAGAGTTTGTTTATATAACGACATAGAGCTATTTTATAATTGCCACTGTTTTTACTTTTTTGCATAACGTAAAGAAAACATTAAATACACGCACACTGCTAAAACATATTGAAAGTATTAATGTCAAATATCATTTTCGTTTATATTCCCAGAAAAAGTGCATACATTTCAATAACATAATAACAGTACGGTAGAAAAATCAAATTAATTTAACTCTCTTTTCTAATTTTGACAAAGGAGGTAATTTAAAAATACATTAAACTCACGCTAATAAAAAATGTGAATGCAAATATACGTTCGTCATAGAAGGAATTAGTGTTGCGATAATATAATTAGCAAAATGTGAATGCAAATTATTCGGATGTGTAAGAGGAAATTATTGTTTGAAAATAATAATTAGCATGGATTGATAAAAGACAATATTTTATTTTTTTTATTCACTAAATGTAGGCCCTACTGTTTATTACTAAGACTTATAATTTTTAATCAACTATTCAGCACTATTATCGACGCGTCATCACGTTCATTAGGTGCGCAATGGTTTTAGTTATGAAACTTTATTGTAATTTTTTAAAATTTAAAGTACTGGAAAAAAAAAATGCGTGAATGGATAAAGTGAACTATTGTAGGTAAAACACGGATATTTTAAATACTGCCTATTATTTATACTGTTGACTAATTATTATTCTATCTTTCGGTTTGCGGACAAGATAGGGGTTTTATAGGAGAGGCGTAGCGAGTGGGGGGGGGGCATATGTCCCCGTGTGCCGAGCCGACCTTAGGGGGCGCCAAAGTTGGTTGGAAAAAAATATGCGACGGGGGGGGGGGGTGTTGGTGGAAATCGAAAGTTTTAGGGCGGGGGGGGGGGGGGACAGGGGTGCAAATCGAAAGTTTGAGGGGGGTGCAAATCACCGGAAAGGGCGTGATTTGGCGCTACGGGCTAGACTGTGAGCAATATGCCTTTACGATTGCATTTAAATTGTTTTTATGTTATGAGTGTTGTGTTTGTTTTTTCGTTTGTGTTTTTTTTTTTTGCGTTCGTTTGTGTTGTGTTTAGTTTTGTTCTGTTCCCAAGTTGGTACATTTAAAAAAGATTTACCGTGGCGGAGCACGAAATGCAGCTAGTATATATATATATATATATATATATATATACATATGTTAAACATCTGTCATATGTTAACATATGGTTAACATATGGTCCATGGTTGTTAAAGGGGCGTTCCCTTTAACAACCACATATTTCAAAACGAAATTCAAAACATTCATAAAGTGAAAATTGTAACAAAATCCTCAAAAGCACATATTATTTGCACAATGTTTTTTCCTTAACTTTGAAGTTTGCTACTTATGATTTTATTGGAAATAGACACGTGGTACTAAGACTTTTTATTACACGGTTTCACAGATTTTCTTGATTCTTTAAAGTTAATTTACTTTATCGTATAACAGATCATCACCCTTCACATCATCCCCAACCAAGTCCTGTACACATCACTGGTTAACCACAATGAGCGATTCAACACACAGTTTAATTCGGGGGCTGTTGTCTTCAGGAAAGTCAGGGAAGACGGTACATTTTATAATGTTTCTCAGTTCTGTTAAATAATTTGACGTCCCAGTCAGCTACATGTTGTAAAATATGTGTATCTGTAATGTTTTAAATGCAAGAAAAGTTCATGTAATAATTACATTTAAATAGAAACACAAGTAAACTATTTGTTTTTAAATACTAAAGTTAAAATACAAGAATCATAACACATTTTATAATTATATCATTTTGTGTTTATAACTTGCCTAAACCTAAGATTACGGTTATTATTTGTTGGATTGTATTACAATTATAACTATTTTATTAATTAGTGTACGTGACGGGTGCACTAAAAGGCGGCCGAACTGTAACAGCCAAACTTAACCCAGGCAACAGAACTGTTCTCAATGGTGTTGTCCATCAGATTGATGCCATGCTGGGATTTGTTTACAAGACTGCTATTGAGGAGATTCAGAATGATCCTAACACTCAGTAAGGTTTATTTTATTATTAAAAATATATAAAAGCTAAATAAGACTACTATTTCCGTGATTAAAAACACAAATATCTATTTAATAATAAGAATGTTCAATCACAATTAAACAAACAATGTAAATATGTGTGTTCAATTTTTAGCTTTCGCTATTTGCTAGCTATATCCCATTTTAAATAATTAAATGTCATAACATTCAGGCTTCTCTTAGAGTAAACTGTTGAATGTGATTCATAATTTAAATAGATAAACTAGTTTTTAGACAATAGTAAAAACAAACAAATCTTATTTTATTTGAAAGTTTTTGGGAATTAATAATAGTTTTCCAGTTGAAAATAATAGATGAGACAATTGGGAAAAGAACATGTTAATGATTTAAAAATTTAATTGAAAAAAACAAACACATTTTTTAAACATTATTTTGACAAGCTAATTTTATTAATAGTTTTCCAGTTGAAAATAATAGATCAGACCATTGGGAAAAGAACATGTTAATGATTTAAAAATTTAATTGAAAAAACAAACACATTTTTTAAACATGATTTTGACAAGCTCATTTTATTAAATAAAAAATAGAAGACAATACACACACACACACGCACACACACACATATATATATATATATATATATATATATATATATATATATATATATATATATATATATATATATATATATATAGAATTACACACCTTATAGGTGCTGTGATAATATGTGTAAAAAAAGTTGCATGTTGTATGTTTTTTACTCGCAATAAAAGAATAGAGTAACATTTCAAATATATCAAACAGAAACTTTGAGCAGCTGATCTTTGCAGCAAGGAAAGATCTACAGAACTACATCACAGCCACCAGTGGTGTTGTTGTTTTTGTACCAACCAACCAAGCCATGTACGCCATCGCTAACGTCTACCAAAACTACATCAACAACCAGTCATTGGTCAACATGGTGGGTGGTTTAAGATGTAAATTGTTTTCACATTGTAGACAAGACTTTAATATTTATGCATAAAAGAAGACCACTGTATACGATGCCAAATCCAAAACTTCCTCTCCCTAACCTGACAAGGCAAAGAGTGAAAAATCGTTCTTCCCCACAAATAACGATACTAAATTAAAACGTCACATACTTGAATAACGCATCAGAAAGTTCAGATCTTTTAATCATGCCAAAATGTTTCACAACATACTCTCGAACCCTTGTTATCTTTAACATTACCATGAGTTTGAATCATGTGCTATTGTTTTAGAGGGTACACCAGTGTGTTCATTTACTTGTTCTTATGGAACACCTTATCTGTGTTGTTTGCTCTAAAAACAAAAATAACAAACTTGTATTTGTCATTGTATTTTTTTGAGATTTTAAGATCTGTTATATGATGGTTGTATGTATCAAGAAATCTGGTACTTAATAAATGATTAAAAAATTCAAAGTTGATATCAGCAAGAAAATAAAAGGTCAATAACTCAGTGATGTATATTGATTTTAAACTTTGTATAAATAATGTGTTGCCTGTTTATCAAATAGGTTCTAGAGATGAGCCTTCTACAACAAGGCCAGTCTATAAACTTAATGGATTATAATGGGGGATACGAAGCTTATAAAACAGCTGTTTCGAGATATAATGGGAGGCTTATTAAACTTTACAGCGAAGGGAGTGGTAAAGTATAATGCTCTTTATTTAATTTACAAAGTTTTAAAAAGATTCAATGTGGTTTTAATTTTTAAAAATGCATAAAAACGTTTTAATAGCAAGCTGTTGTGTAATAATGCACTAAAATGTGAAATTAAATGATTTTCTTTAAATATACAATAATTCCCTTTTATTTAAATACTATATGCGTTATTTAAATTGTAGTGTATTGTTATATATCTAAATGAAATCATTTATTTTTCCTTCTTAGTGAATTATTACATAAAAGCTGGTTATCAAAACATTTTGTATGCAGTTTTTTCAGTACTTTAAAATTTGTATTTATAATAGTGTTGCATTGCTAAAAACTATTGCGTAACAAATGAACTTGATGATGCGCGTATTATAGTGCAGAAATAATACAAGGCTGCCAATTAATTTCAGAACATTGTAATAAATTCATAAAAAAATATTTAATTATCCAATTAAGCCAAATATCAGATTGCTTTGCCATCAAGTTTGACTCACATGGCAACTTTGAAACGAATCATCTAGTTAGAAGTGCCCGAAATTTCGCCAAACCGTTTCGATCTATGACTACAGATAGGTACACAGACTGTCGACATAATGACGACGGAACGACATTGAAAGCAAGTTGAATAAAATCTTGTAAAAATGAAGGGCTTGCCATAAACAATATTTTAATAACTACATACATTTAAACACAATTTTTTAAAGTTCATTAATATTTTATCTCACAATAATAGACACATGGGTAGAAGGAGGATATGTGAAGGCCAGAGTTATCAAACCAAACATAGGTGTCACTAATGGTGTGGTCCATCAGATTGATGCAGTTTTTGGGATCCCCACTCGGGATATTCCGTACACTGTTTTCTGTGAGGACTGGCTCGTGTGAGTACATTGTTTTATTTAAATGGAGAAAAATATTCTTACTTGCAAATAGAAATATCATTTAAGGATTACAACAATGCACATGTGTTAAGTTCAGTCTCACTCCCTCTTCACTCTCACAACTCTTGTTTAAAATTGTTCATTTTAAATTGAGGTTACTTTTAGTGTTGTCAGCAGAAAAATTGACCTAATTTTTTTTTTTTTTTATAAAATAACAATTACTTGATGCTCAAGGAAGCTGTGATAATTTCTGGACCTTTTTTCAATTTTTTGCTTTACTTAAATTAGTATTTGTTTGTAGCAAATCAAACTATAACTTAAAATAATAAGTACATGAAAGTTCATGGTAATTAAAATTAAAATAATTTCACTGGTTAAAATGCATGTGCATAAAAATTACTTGATAGTGGTTGAATAATATTTGTTGTAATTCTCAGTAATGTATGCCTATTCTATTCTAATTTTTTAAAGTTAAATAAGAACCTTACATACCGAAAACTAGTATTTCCTGTTTTATCCAAAAGGTCAACCTACATCCAGCTAAAGTACGTAGGTCTGGACGCCTACATGAGAGATCCAACTCTGACCAGAAACCAGGACTGTGTGTTTAGTGCCAGTGCTGCTGCTGGTCAAGTCCCTCCTGCTGCTGGCACCTGGCAAACTAACACTGGACAAGCCCATCAGAATCAAAATTTCTACGGAGACTTGTGTGGCGATGGTCTGCACAGGTATAGACTTTTTTCATATGCATGTTCATTATTCTCATTAAGCACTGATACACTTGGTAAAGCACTGAATAGCACTTTATCCAATTTTTTTTTTCAATTTTTTTTGTCAGTTTTCTGTAATGAAACAATTACTAAATGTAACTTCTTTGATATAAATACACCATTTACACATAAGTTTCAAATTTACTTAGATGTGAGTTTACATTTTTTGTACCAAATCATGCAGAGGCGTATCCAGGTTTTCGTTGTAGGGGGAGCGAAATGAGCAAAAATAGGCGCCAAATTTTTAACACATTTTATATACGTGTATTATATATATATAAAAATATATATATTTTTATAATTACTAGCTGTATGTCATTACTTCGCTATGATGTAAAATGAATTGTTATTAGTACTTGAAGAAATAAGAAAAAACACGCAATGTAGGCCGACAAAACAAAAAATGTATCAATGTAAACAATATATATAAATATATATATATATATATATATATATATATATATATATATATATATATATATATATATATATATATACACTACATCCAAAAACAATAAACGCAACACAATCTGTTTTGTAATTCTTGTAAAACAAGTAATTAAAAAAAGTCTAGTGACAATTTTAGCGCAATTTCCTTATGTTATCTAAAAATAGCTCTGTCGTAGCGTAAATCAAGAGCAGGGTTAGTAAAACCATTGGTTAGTTATTAAAACGTTTTTTATTAATTTTTTTTCAGTATTTTACATGTTTTATTTACAATAGAGTAACATGACTAAAAACCATTGCGCGCCTAGCTACCGAACGTGATGTCGCAGCCATTGAACGTGATGGCGCAGCTATTGAACGTGATGACGCGTGTGGTGTGGTTGGAAAAACATGCCTACTAATTCGGTCCAAATTTTAATTAATACAAAAAAAAATTTGTGACCGAACGAAAGGATATTTTTGAAAACTTTCTTCGGCAATATTGTTCTAAATGATGGCAGGAATCGATTGGTACATGTTTCAAGTCGCTAAGTGGTCTGGTTGCCGAGATATGGGCCAAAAACTGCATTTTTTCGAGGTTTTTTGGCTTTTTCGGGAAATCCATGAAAGAAACCCGGAATTTTTATGGCCTATGTTCATCCTCGTAACTTGCTTAACATAATTGCTTTTGTAACTAGTCATCGATATTGCTTTGTTGAGGAGGAGATACGACTTAAAGCCCGGACACACATTCATACATCCATACATTCATTCATTCATCCATCCATTCCCAGAAATGACGAGTTAATAAACGCAATTCTCCAGAATGGAAATTGCGCTAAAAAAATTTTACATAATAATTCCTGGTACATTAATTAAGACAAGCGAAATAGGGGAAATAATCACGCTCTTAATATAAATATGTATATATCTACATATTTGATAATAAATGTCAAAACAAATCTATAATTACTTTAGAATGTAATAAAGTTGTTTAACAGTAGTTCCTTTTTCAAACTTTTTTTGTCTACAATCAGAATTAAATATATGGTCATCATAAATGCTAAAGTATCACAGCATAATGAAAGTTTTTTTTAAATCAGAGTTGGTATAAAAACACGCTTTAAATATCATAAAGAAACATCCGGAGTAATAGCTTACATTTAACTGAAATGTCGGTCTTTTAGTTTAGATCATACATCTTTTAATTATCTACTGCTTTTTGTGTTCTTTAAAGATCATTTTTACTTTCTCGTATATACGTAGTATAGAGAAAGTATTGTAATCGTGCAAAAAAAAAAATCGAGATTTTTACAAATCTCGACGTTTTACATCTCACTGATACGGAAAAACATAATTTTGCAATCTTGTCCGTATGTCTGTGTGTGTGTGTGTCTGTCTGTCTGTCTGTCTGTCCGTGTGTAAACACGATAACTTGAGTACCGTTACAGCTAGGTTGATGAAATTTCATATATAAGTATTTTATCAAAATCGTAGATCCGTATCAACTTTTGAGCGATTTCCGACAACCGGAAGTGGTACTTTTTCTACTTTGAATTTTTCAAAAGCCTATAACTTGAGTACTATTTCAGATAGATAAATGAAATTTCACATGTAAGTAAAAGATCTAATTCTCTACCTTCTGTTAAATTTTGAGTAATTTCCGTTGACAGGAAGTAGTAATTTACGCTACTTCCGATTTCTCAAAAAACTAATGTAAATTTTAAAAGTACTAATAATATTGCGCACTATTATGCGCTTTTTTATTTCGCGTTCACTTGGTGTGCAATTAATTTGTCTACGAGATTTTATTCTATTTTTAAAACTTTAAGTATTTAAAATGGATTAAAAATCATGTCTATAGCCCGAGTTCCCATCCCCTGTAATTTTATATAAAAATATTCGAGAAAGTTTAGGGGAGATCACTCCCGGTTTATTTAACATAGTGATCAGGTATGGGTTAGATCACTGTATTGATCACACACATTTTTACTGGTAATTGCAAAAACAATATTTACAATTTACAGAGTTTTACCTGATTCAAAAGCTATGATTCTGGCGGCATGGTAATTTGGTACATCGTTACGCGTCTTCCCAAATGTACTTAACAGATCAGTTCGGGGTGGGTTGGGGGGGGGGGGGGTTCAACTTCATTCACCACTGTCCGGTCACTTTAGGTCAATTATCCAACCCAGTGTATACCTAGGTGTGACATTAATGTCGCTCTACACAATTGTGGTGGTGAGGTGTGTGTGTGTGTGTGTGTGTGTGTGTGTGTGTGTGTGTGTGTGTGTGTGTTTGTGTGTGTGTGTGTGGTGAACAGAGTGAACATAGCGTCAGTTTTTAAATGACTGTTCTAAACATACATATTCAATTACACATATATACTGATTCAGAAATAGATTTAAATAAGTAGCAGTGGTATTATGACACACTTTTTTTTACAAAGGGGTCCATGGGGGGGGGGGGGGGTTGTAACTCTTTCATATAATTTGTAATCGTAATCACTATCGTCCAAACTGTAAGAATACTACTACTTCATCGTGATGACGTTGTTGACCTTGTCAAAATGTCCCCACCACTACGCAGTTTGCCCATAAGTAAATTTAAATAGAGGTGCCACATCAGTTGTGTTTGTGTCTGTATTGTAATTTTTTTAAAATTAATTACACGATTAAAACTGTATATATAAATTAATTATGTGTGAAGATTTATGTATAATATTTTCTAGATCAATTATTCGTAAGCAAATACATTATACAGTTGCCTTAAACTTAACACCCCTCTTGCCAAGTGGTACTACCCGTAGAGTAGAGGTTTTTTTTAAAATTGCAATGCATCGTAATGGTACAATTCTGCTTAATTGCTGCATGAAAAGAAATCTTGTGATTTACATAGATGTGTCGACCAAAAATAATTGTTAACAAAAATCATTGTTTAAAACCTTGAGTTTAAAAGTTTCCAAAAAGGCGCCACTTTGATGAAAATGGCCAGAGGGGGAGCGGCCGCTCCCCCTGCTCCCCCCCTGCGTACGCTACTGACCAAATGGAACTGCTATTGACAACTTTGCATTGACTGCTTATGGAAGACAAATTATGAATGATCAGAGGAGGTGGAGATGGGTAAGGTTCTTTCTTCTTTAATTTTGTAAAATTGTTCAATAGACATTCATGAGAACTGCTATCTTCTTAGCAACTACTTGAAATAAATGCTTGTTTTTAAACTAGAATTTATGAAAAGTATTTGATTTTTAAAAGCCATAGTGAAATAAATATGACTTAGCATAGGTTTTTGTTTTTTGACAAAGTTTTGATTTAACATTTTTATGTTATTATTATTTTTTTAAAATTATACCAACCCATCTACTAGCCTTAGTTACCTATCATGGGAAATGATACAGTTTCTAATTCAATAATTATGAAAGTGTTATGATTAGTAAACCACTACTTTAAATTCAAATAAATTATTTAAAAAAAATGAATTCATCATGAGCTGGAATTGATGTTCAGAGCAATTCAATTATAAGTTGTAGATCAAAAGCATTGATATTGTTACTTCTGTTTCGTTGTATAAATAAGCTGTCATATTAGCATATGTAAAGGACTGAATTCTTTGGTTTATTTTTAGCTTTTAAGAAGTGTAACGGACTTTTTGTTTTTTTTTTGTTTTTTTTAGCTCCTAAGAAGATTAATCACATTCAGAGAGAAGATATACATTGACCAGCTAGCTTATGGTGCATCAAGGAGTTATTATGCTGACAATGGTGAAGAGATCATCATACAGACAGACTCCAGGTCCAATATCCCCGGCGGGCAGAGAAGTGAGTAGAAGATTTAACACATGATTATGACTAATGATAATATTGTGATCCTTCAGAATATAACAGATTCCTACCTCAAATAAAATATAATTTGTTTTGTATTGTAATTTATTGTTCTTAGTAAGTAAACTTAATATTTAATTTTTCTACTTACATTCTTCCAAGTTTTCCTGCTAAGATCCTGCTTGGAATTATTTCCCAACATAAATTATATTTATGACTATTCCTAGATAAATCAAATTTTTCAAGTTTAAATTAAAAATTTATTCATTCTTAAGAAAAGTACACTTGCACAATTTTTAAATAAACAAAGCTTGTGCTAATTACAAAAACTACTAATTCCAGTTTTTAAATTACTCAAAAATCCATATGTATCTAGTTTAAGATTGTTAGTATTTAAAATATTTTGGTTATTGCAAAACATTGACAGGTGGTTTAAGAGCTAAGAGTGTCAATACCCTATTCCTGACCATAATCCTAAGCAACTTCTGAGACTGTTGGTGTGGTCGGTTTGATAAAGCACATGGTTGCTAAGCTGAAAAATTACGATATCAAAACCCTCGGACCAATGAGTCTCGATAGCTGGGAATAGCAATGCATCTAGGAGAGAAAACTCCAAAATCAAACAATTTCTGCTGTGTAATTTGCTCTTAGATGGAAAAAGGCTTTGGAATCAAATCCAAAAGAAAGGCAGGCTGAGTTTTGAATCCGCATGACAGATTAACACTTTGGGTTGGAGGAAATACTCCCCAACTTTACAATAAAGAATGAAGAAGAAAGAGTAACTTCTGACCCTAAAGAAAAATCTTGAATCTGTTGTCTCCTGTCTAAAATTTGTACCAGCAGAAAACTTGTTTTAAAAAAATTATTTTCTCTTTCCCACAGCAACCTACATCATGTTTGGAGGTGTCAGAGCGCAAGTTGTACCAGGGGCGGAACTACAGTGCCGCCAGACCCCGCAATGCGGGGGGGCCCAGACCAATTGGGGGCCCAAAAATCCTGGCTAAATTATTTTAAAAAAATTAAAAAAAAAATTAGGTGGAGGTCGAGTTATCTTTCTTCTACAGTTACAAACAAACACGATAGTCGGCAAACGTCTTTGAGAAAAATGCAC